TGGTGAGCACCTGTGTGGGCAGGTGAAACTTTGGACTTTATCTCAACTTACATAACGTACATGTACATGTAGGCCTGACTGTACATGTGCAAAACAGAGGTGTAAAAACAAAATTGATTATTGCCATGTCAGCTTTACAAACGTATGGTACATGTACATGTCCTTGTATACATGTGTAACTGAGTACATACATGTACATGTACGCATGCGTATTTGGAGTGTCCAAACATGTTAAAAATCACTTTCTCTAATTTCTCAATCTTGCACACATGCAATTAACATTAGTGCACGTACATGTAAGCCCAACACTGTAACATAGATAATTCACGACCAAATAAACCATACATGTACTTGAATGAAACGTTATCACTGTTATCATTTATCTGAAAATCGGTGACAAGACTACAATGAAGCATGTCAGAATTTATTGTGAAGTACTTCAAAATCTCCACAGATACAAGTATTTAGTGTTAGGCAAGAGAATGTTGGATCCATCAGACCAGCCGTTGGTTGTTTGCCAGGATTTAAAAATGTACCTTTTCAAAAGTTTCCAGTGTTAAATGTTGACAAATAAACTGAAAAGAATAATAAATGCCTACACAATACACCGTTGATGTACACAATGCATACATACCGTACATTGGAAGAAAGGACATGTACATGTATGTACATGTACATGTAGCATTGAGCTTGTTCCAATCTTTATTACAATGAAGAGCATGAACAGAGTGGCATTTTTGCCCAGTAGCATAAACTTAGTCCTAATTTGGTTGCAGTACTGACAGTGAATACTGATGTACATGTATACCCATGCCCATACTAGTGGTGTAATGGGGCTCTGGGACAGGTTTTGCTAATGCAGCCAAGAATCTATGGCATGAATGGGGATGATAAATTGGGGTGAAGTTTATCAACCTGTCAATGTGATATAGCAGAGGGTCATTTCAGGTCTCCAGATATAAAACACGCCCTGGAATCTTTTGTTGGGGGGGAATGACACAGACCAGATGTGCCCACATATGCAGACTCCCTGAGGTACATGTACCAGAAGAAACAAACACTGGATCTACCTTGTTGTATACAAATGTGTTGTGTTGTTTCTGATCAACTTTGACTCTTGTCTTTAAGCAAGCATAACATTTTACTCCTTCACAATGGATAGAGTAACATACTGGACTTCAAAAAAAATGCAATTAGTAGACTTTTGCTCTCTCACTTAAGGAGTCTTGTGTCTGACACAAGGAATGCTCACAATTTTATCGCAGGCTTTCACACAGTACAATGCACCATCTTAGTGTATGTCTGTCATCTTACTGTACATGTACATGCATCTGTATCGCTGGTACTGTGATTTCCCGCTCAGGCTTTTCTATGCAAGTTTTCACAATTATTTGTGCATATGGTATGTATGTATCTCTGCCTTCTAGATTTCTATCTCAATTTGAAGACAGTCCTCAGCATTTTTTGTTCATCAAACCATGACCAGCATCATAAACAGCCACATCGGCAGCATACGTACATGTACATGTATGTATGACTGTATGTGGGTTAGTGATAGCCTTGTTGCCATAGTGGCTCTTTCCCTTTGTCAATTGAGTAGACCGATTGACAAGGTAGCTGGCAGATTTATAAACGAGAGGCTTCGAGTTCAATCTTGAATGCTGTGAAATTTTTTTTTCTGACTTGTGGCTCTGAAGGAAATTTGTCAAGGGAAAGTGCTGTCTGAAATACATGCAGTTTGCATTTGTGGCTCCAAACGATATTTGGTAACTGCCCATAAGAGTATTGCAGCACAATATTCATGCACGTGCTGAAAAAGACATATTTTTGTGAACTGCCAGTTTGCATGATGGCAATAGTAAAGGTGCATGTGCGTAGTGGACTTCAACACACATGCCACAGTATCATTTCCACTACCAATCACTTGCGGAGTGGACTTCAATGCACATGCCACAGCTTTCCACCACCAATCGCGTGCGTAGTGGACTTCAATGCACAGTATCATTTCCACCACCAATCGCGTGCGTAGAGGACTTCAATGCACAGTATCATTTCCACTACCAATCGCGTGCGTAGAGGACTTCAATGCACAGTATCATTTCCACCACCAACACGTGCGTATAGAACTTCAATGCGCAGTATCATTTCCACTACCAATCGCGTGCGTAGTGGACTTCAATGCACAGTATCATTTCCACTACCAATCGCGCGCGTAGAGGACTTCAATGCACAGTATCATTTCCACCACCAATCGCGTGCGTAGTGGACTTCAATGCACAGTATCATTTCCACCACCAATCGCGTGCGTAGTGGACTTCAATGCACCGTATCATTTCCACTACCAATCCCAGTGATATCACACGGATTTTGCATCAAAGCAAAATTTTAGAGGTCTTGATCTGTGTGGCAAACATGCACCTGACAGGCTGTGCAATTTGGTGACAGGGTCGCCCTTTTATACGGTATGATATATCCATGCGTTTGTGACATCAATGCAATCTCATCGTGCAGGACCTGTGTTTTAAATGCCTGTGAAAAAGGGCCTTAGACCCATTTTACAACGAGGAAAGCTAAACAGTGACATTCAGTGTAAATGGTCCGTTCCTCTCAGATATAGACAAATCCAAGGAGACAGCTGTTCCTGCAGAATCATCACACTCACAAGTCTGAACTTGAGCATGTGCATGCATTTGGACTAGTCAAAACATTGTATTGGTCTGAGAGAAATGTATCCTAAAAGATACCGTACAGAAGTCTATATTTTGTCCAGGGTGTTTGCCTTTACAAACCTCAAAGATTTGTATTATTTTAACATACAAAGAAAAAAGAACCATAAAAACAGCTGTTAAATTTACTGTAACAATAGTAATGTGATTCAGGGCTAACAATTTTCTGGCATGATTGTATGTACATCAAAATCGTCAAACCCGTTTTACATGGATCACTCTGTCGGCTACGAATGTACAGTGGATTTTCTTTGCACACAAACAAAATTTACATCTATTTCCATGTTTAAATGTACCTAAAAAATGAAAACTTTATTTCTCTGCTGTGCATATGTGGGTGTAAACAGGAACAAAAATTGAGTTACAAGTTACAACATACATGTTAATCGCCCAACAATTTCACTTCAGTTATAGCTAGCCTAATGATGTACAGAAAGAACAGGTCTTTGATGCTCAGGTAATAATTGAAACTAAGTACTCCCATCAGAAAACATGTCTGGTCCCTTCTACTCACTTTTTGGCTTCCCCAAACAAGTCATCATTGTTGCTATTTACATTCCTGTTTCATCTTCTTCTCCCCAAATAGGGTTTGTTCATGATTTATCCTGCGAAGTTACCTGCTCATGTGAAATTTAATATACATGTACATACATGTATCTTAACTTGTTCTGAACAAAGACCATTTATCAAAGATGGTCTGTGATCAATGATGTTGTTTGAGACATTAAAGTTCGGTATATGTAGAAAACTAAAGTAAATGTCTGACTGGGTTCAAATTATACATGCGTATCAAAAACTGAATTGAAGAAAATACAATGTCATGATCAAATATCCATGTTTTTAAAACCCTGTGAGACAGGACAGATTGTTTTGAAACAATACAAGCACCATATGCATACTTCATAAAGTAAAACATAGTAAATACATGTACCCAAAAATTCTGTTTTGTTCTTGGGTGGACAACACGGCTGGTCGTGTTTTTCTTATGTTATTAATTTCATGCACACTTTCCTGTCTGAGGATCATATATTTGTATTGTTTTCTGAAGAAAACTACCATTTGGTTTCACTACACTCATAGCCTGCAGAGTGACAAATTCATATATGTGCATGAAATCAGTCACATGAAATTAGACAATGTATGTATTAAATTAACTGGTACATGTGTACAGGCAGAGGCAGATGAGCACGTAAATCAAAACCCTGCTCCTTGATGTGTACAATGATAGATTTGTACATCAGGAAGTTAGCCTGTATTCATGAGAGCATGTTGCTGGAAAATGTTGTGCAATTATGGGCCCTCTACAGACATACATGTGCATGTAAATCACCAATCTCTAAATAAGAAACATATGAAACAATTGCTATGAATGCTTTATAGCCCCAAACCCCCCAATTGCTTAGGCTGTTTCCATTGTACCTGTGTACATGCATGTATTGTTTACTTTACAAAAATCACTGAGACTGGAGCCGAAAGGACCACTTGGGGCCATACTTTTCTTGAACTTTGCGATAATTGGGAAGCAATGTTTTTGTAACACACTGCATGCACTACCTGTATGGTTACCTAGCCTACTGTATGGTGGCTTACCACAGGAACAGCATGTGAAGCAATTAGTGTGGTAGAGGTTGCCCATAGCTTGACATGCCTGTCCTGCACCGGTCACCTTCTCTCCACACTTCACACAGCAACCTAACAAACAAAAACATAAATATTGTCACAAACAGCCTTCATGTACACGTACTAACCTAAATGGGTTAATTCCTAAAAGATGTAAAATTTGGGCCCACAATCTAAATCTTTTTGGAGACAATTTTCACACCTAACACTTGCCGTCAATGTCAACCTGTCTGGGCATTTGTATGTGTGTGTACGTGTATGGGGGATCAGCATACAGCACAAAGTCAGGTGTAGGCCTACCCAAAAGAGGCAGTTTTATATAGGGGCCTCTCAGTCTGTTTTTGTGCAAATTGTGATGAATATGCTTGTCATCCCCATCCTCAATTTTTGCCTCGGTTTGCTGGAAGTCTGAAATTTTTGGACAGATACATCCACTAGTTTGATAAAGTTGCTTTAAGGATGTTGATGATTGCTGAATCCCAGGATTCTTGATTGATGGCAAGGATCCCAGCAGCAAATTTTTGTCAAAAAGTGTTTTCTAAAATTAATTTCAGCTAGCTTTGATTACATAATTAGCCTAATTATTGTGTACACACAGGTACATGTTTGAGTTCAAGTGGGCCATCTTTCGGTATGTACAGGTACAATTATTTTGTATGATTGGTTGATCCTGTGTGAAACCTCAAACTTCCCTTTTTGTAAAAATCTTCCACCACCGTGAATTAGAAAGGCAATAAGTCTTACCGCTAATACCACATGGCTGATTTTGCACAACTATGGAAGGGCACCGTTTCTTTCCCATGATGCCTCTATACTACTGTGCAAAATCACTTTTTAAGTATACTATTAGCGATAAAGATTATTGGCTGATGGCAAAATTTGGACAACCAGTGCAAGGAGTTTGGCTGATTAGGGCAAAGAATGATCTAGCGACAGCACAAGGATCGAGCAATCATGCAGATCACGCTAAACAAGTAACATACATATGCATTAATACTTGTTTTGTTTGTTGTTGCATTTTCATTTTCTCCACATAGCTGACAACTCACCAAACTCTTCACCATCAGGGTTTTCTGCCAATTCAATTTCCAGTTGTCTGGTCAACTCTTCCAGTTTCCTTTCAGCCTCAGATGGTCCATTTCCTTTGGGTGGGACAACATCATAACGAAGGAGGGGGTTCTTCCTGGGTAAGGGGGCAGAATTAATATCTGATGTCTCTTGTATCTTTTTGGTTGAACTAACACTAACAGGTTCAGAGGCTAATCCCTTTGTTACTGACATGACTGATGGTGGTCCTGTTTGTTTCATATTTTCTGCGTTATACTGAGCACTTTTTGTACCATTCAACTGAAAGGAAGGTGCATCATCTGAGTTCACTGATCCAGATTTATTGTGCATGTGCTTTGTTTCTTGATAATACTGACTGTTTTCAGTACGTGAAATGGAAGACTTTTCAGCTGATGATGAAAGTGGTAGATTACTGCGACGTGAGAATGATGCTTCCTTAATAGGAAGCGAATCAGCTCTCTCTACCTTCTGAACAAGTCTATACCAATCCTGGTTGTTCAGATTTGGTTGTTCTACATGAGTGTCACTTGATTCAGGCAATTTCCCGGACTCCTTTAAACTCTCCTTGGAGGAACGTTTGGTCTTTCTGTTGCTCTGACTCGCTCTTGCCCAATCACGATCTTGTGAATGACTGGATCCAGTGTCAGTTGAGCTACTGCTGGTGATGGAGGACCGATTGGAGCTTGACCCTGATTGTCTTGAAGAAAATGGCTGATCATGTGAAGACTGAACTGCCGACTGCCGGTCTGAAGCTGCCTGTGATCTTGGAAGATTTTGCTGCTGTTCCTGTGGCACCAACGGTGTTTCAGACCTACACGCATGTGAACGGCTCGAACTCACAGTCACGCTAGTATGCCCCTCACTGACTTCTGCTGATATTTTCCTGCTGTCCCTGGCCTGGTTCCCCTGGAATCCTATTTGCATCTGCCGGTCAGGCCTACCCGTATACGCATCGTGTATGTACTCATAATCACTGTATTTCCCTGCAGAGGAAAAATCGGTTTTATTCGATCTCTCCGTTGACGAACGCAGCGACTTTTTCGACGCACGGTTACTGTGTTTGTGGCTGCTTTGACTGCCTGGAGTGACTAATGATTGTGGCATCCGCGCAGTACCCTCTGAACCCGAGTGCCACTGATCGGTCTGCGGATTGGTTACAAAAGATGACCCCAGGCTGCCGTATTTGGACTCATCAATGTGTGGCGCGAAGCTAGATTTTACGGAAGATTTTCTAAGTTCACGGTGCTCACTCGGAGAGCCTGATCCTGACTGATCGCTCTCCCAGCCCCTAGATTCCTGGTGATATTGATACGAGCCTCGAGTTGGATCATATTCCCGCTCAACCTGTCCAGTTTGTTCCCGACTATGCTGGGTGTAAATGGTGGTGTCCTGGGAATGGGACGCGTTACGGTGGTTGCCGTGACGATCACTTCCTGTGCGGTTGCGAATGTCATTTCCGCGTGAATTTCGCACAACAAAACCACTATTTAAAGCCCTTTCATCTGCACAGTCACCGTCCAAACATTCGTGTTTGCCCTTGCTATTTCTTGTCCATTTCTTTTCGGAATTGGCTTCTGAGTAAATATCGGCATCAGAATACAAATCACTGTAGTTTCCTTCGCTGAGTTTCCCTGACTCGGATGAGCGGAGTTTCGATTTCGAAAAACTGCTTCCTGTTTCGCCGTACTGATTTTCCTGGTCCAAATAACCTGAACTATGCTGTCCTTGAGATTGTAAAATTTCATTATAGATCTTGTATCGCCAGGATGAATCTTCCATATTTTAGATACGTGAGAATGAAGCGATGCGTATCCAAATCAAAGGTGTCAAGGAGTAAACATTCTCTGTGTATAGTTGTTCTCATCAATCAGCAGTAGTCTGTTAGCATATAACGGGCCGCCCACGCACGTACTGTTGGTGCCACAGTGTGTGATGGCATGGTGCAGGTTGTCGTCCATGTCATCAATGGCGAGTTGCGGAGTGATATTTTTTCGTCAAATCCATGAAGGGTTAAAAATAGCCCCAACTTTGTGCATAATGAACGTGCACCCAAAACTTTAACTCAAAATGTATCGTAAACATTTTTGCCAAATATCTGCATCTTTCTTTCACACATATACAGTATATTGAAGGACAAGTCAATAACACTGTATGAACTTCTTGACAAGTTGATATAGTTATGCGGACGTATACATAATTCTTCATGCTTTTAGGTCTGGCTGGCGTGCACGTTGTGCAGTGGCCCTCGTGGCTGGCCAATGCGCGAGGCCGGCAACTGCACCAGTTTCCTCTAAAGAAATTCGTTGAAATTAATTCAAAACAACAAACGAATTAATATATCCTCATTAATAAGGAAACATACGCAGCCATTGGCATTACTGCAGATAATCAATGGGGGCCTAACATCTTAATATGGAGGACACCGACTTTCTGTGGTGTGGTTTTTTTTTGGGGGGCAAGCTTTTGTTAGCCTTGTTAAATATCCATTCATCCGGGTTTTTTTTAGTAGGGGCATGGGGGTGCACCCAGCCCCCCCCCCATGGCTACGCCCCTGCTGTCCCTGGTCCACCCCATCCAGTTCCTGGGGATTTTCATTTGAAAAAATTATAAAACCCCCACTCTGGGACAAAATTGGTCCAGTGCGAAAACATGTTTCACAGTGATCAAAACCTGCACCCTGGGACCAAACCATACATTAAACCTAGGGAGCAAGAGTTAGGGTGTGTAGGGGAAAAGAATTTATACCTTAATGCAGTGCATAATACTGACCGAAGTATAGGGCGGATGCTGTCATCCGGTATTTTACTTCTTGGAAGGTGCGGTGACTTCTCACGATAAAAAGATTATGGGGAATTTGAAATCGTTAATCTTTATTTATCCCATAGAGTTTGTTCTAAAACGTTTCTCCAATCGTTTCATATCTGGAATTTAGTTTCTAAAATTGCCGTTTTCTCGCTCGAGCCAAAACGGTTTCAACGTTGGATTAAGAGTTTCGTAGGCTCAGTACTGGCCAGTGAGGGCGGATGGGGGGGGGGCAACGGGGACCATGCCCCACCCTCAAATAAAACTGAGGAGGATGTGCTTTCATCGATAAGGTTTACGATATTAAGTGTGTTAAATGTGAGGTTTTTTGTATGGAAAGAACCATTCTATTCAAGAAATTGTTTCTGAGCAGCTGCTGAATTTTGACTGGTGCGATCACTAATGCAAAAGTGCACTGGGAACATCTGCTTACTTATTTTGTCCACCCCCCAAGAAAAAAGTGGGTCTGGATCCGCTCCATTCTCAGTAGGCACTGTACTCCAACATCGACGTAGCAGCAGCAATATCACAGCCTTGGAGCCTCATACTTCAAGCTGTGTACGGCAAGTTATATAATTGTGTTTAACCTGCAAGTTTGTTTGAATCGCAAATAAAAGAGGTTATTTTGTGTGGGTGTCTATTTGTTTTACAGCAGACAGTGTTATTTTAGCAGGGCCCTCATGAACATTTTGTTTTTCCTTGGCCATTGCCACTGTGCTCACTCAAGTCTTATCCGGCCCTGTCGAGCTGCCAGTCGGGTAATTCATTTGACAAAGCAATTTACATGAACGACAACACCAACAATTTCAGTAGATAACATCACGGGGGGGGGGGGAGCGGGTTAGCGTGTTAGCGTAGCGGTTCTTTCCTCGCTTTGCACCAATGAGGCCAGGGTTCGAGTCCCAGCTCGGCCAGGGCTTTAAGTGCATTTGGTTTCCAGTCTATACTCGCTCTCGCAGGTTTTCTCTTAGTACTCCGATTTCCTCCGTATAGTTATTGGCACAAACAGCCTTAGTAGCTGCAAGCGCCGTTAAACCAAAACAACATCACTTTGTGGTCACATACTCCACCCCCCCCAAAAAAAGGAGCCCGTACGTAGTTATATCTGTCCGGGGAGGGACTGAGAAGGCTCATTTTGCCGAATGTAACAGGCTGCAGATTTTAAACGCAAAACCTTTGATGGAAGCAAAATTTGGACTGTAAAAATTCATCCTAAATTCAGAAACGTGGTGGTGATACTTGACGACAACCATGTAGGCCATAAAGGTGAGAGAATGTATTCTAAGCATACAATGGGGGGGAGGGGAATCTCAAACGGCCGGACCCCCTTTTCGGAGGGGGGATGTTCCCCAGATTTATCCTGTAACACAGAAAAGGGCGCATTAATTTTGTCCATTTTGAAGGGTGTGGTCGCATCATTTACGCATTTTAAAAACGAATTTGCTTGCGCTACAAAGTATATAGCTGGCAAATAGTGTTTGCACGGCATTCAGTTTGAGCGATTTGTTTCTGGCATATTTTACGGAATTCATGTTCTCATTGCATAGAGAGGGCCATAACGGTGTGACTGTGATGAAATCATGATGGCCTACCACCGCATGCCACTAGCACGTTTCCCATTCCCAACGATTGTTCAAAACCAATCATTATCAGATATGTATCTGAAATCTTACCAGACACATCGGGACTTTCAATTTCTCTCTGTTGCTTGCAATATTAGCATAACCACGGGGTTTCCTAGAATTTCGCACTTATATAGTTTTATCTCTTTTTTTTTTAATCCCGGGCTATGTTTTCAGAGTTGTTACCAAGTCTTGCAGATTTGGTAACAATTAATAAACTTGACACGGAGATTATAATTTTCGACGTAAAAGACATCTTGCTGAAGATAATTTTTTTTTGTTCTGTAATAACAAGCCGATTTCACTCGGCAGGCTAATCAAAAATATGTATCTTATTGCTGTATTGCTGTGAGGTTATAAGCTCTGGTCGAGGTGAAAGTTCTTGAGCATTAACGATAGAAGTGTTGGTCCCTCGTCATATTAAAGTTCGAGGCGTATACCCATCCAACACGAAGGATTATACAGTTTTCGGCAGGATTCATATCTTTAAGGATGGAGCAATCCGGATTCACAAAAGTGGCGTAGCTAGGATTTTACGGGGGGGGGCACAAAGGGGGCACCAGCATCTTATGGGGGCACAAAGGGGGCACCAGCATCTTATGGGGGCACCAGCATCTTATGGGGGCACCAGCATCTTATGGGGGCACCAGCATCTTATGGGGGCACCAGCATCTTATGGGGGCACTAGCTTATAGTGATATGGTTTTAGGGGCAAGCTTTTAGGAGCCTTGTTCAATATCTATTCATCCGTTTTTTTCAGTAGGGGGCAAAGGGGGGGCCTCTGAGGCTACACCACTAGATACACGAGGTTATCCTTGCAATACCTAATGAATTGGCACATATGAGTCTGATGTCCAATAAACCAAGAGCAAAGGTACAAGGTTAGCTTAATAGGCCTAGTCATAAGAATGTCCTACATGAGAAACGAAATCACGAATTTTCACTGAAAACGATTCCGGAAATTCCATTCGGCAAATTTCAACATACATGCAGAAAAAATTAATTACAAACAACCAAATTAAGTCCATCCAGCTGTGTATGCGTAACATATTAATAAACACACCCATGGCCTTATCAGTAATAATAGGATGCAGAAGGAATTTTAATCACGATCACGAATTTAAAGGGCACGTGCACTTGTAAACGTAAACAGTAAGTCATCACGCGCAAAAAACAGGATTATGCTATGTGGAAGGGTGCAGCCATTTTTAAAAATGAAGCGCAGCAAATGTGATGACTTTTGTAGTTCTCTGCCAATAATTGTACAGCAAAATTGTTCTTAAAATTAGGTTACTTGAAGGAAACAGGCTAGAATTTTTGTTCATGGGGTAGCTATAAATTTGCAGGACACCGCATTCAAAAGGAAAAGTTCGGTCAGATGGTTATAATTCACACATTATTACTTGTGAAGGTTAGTAGTAGCATCATTATGTGACCATTATGCGACTCTCTTTTGAGAAAGTGTGGGGTTCTGAAAAGAACCGGTGAGCTAGCCTTCGCAAGTTTGTACAGCTTCTTCTGATACGAGTTCAGAAACACATGTATTTATGTTTACACACGGAGCATCACTCTTAGAAATGAAACAAGGAAGACAAAGCAAGAATTTTGAAACCTTCCAAGCATGATTGACCTATTTATTTTTATATAACCCAAACCGTGAGCTGAATGCAGCTTTTTGGTTACTGCTAATTTTCATCTTAAAATCCCCAATGTTTTTTTTTGTATACTGTACAGTCAGTGTTTGTGCCAAACACGTCACTGATGTTGTACTGCTGTATTTTAAAACAACTACATTAATGTTGGACTAGTTATACGCACATATCTCTGACCGCCACGAGGCCACCTCTCATTGTGAATCTCTCACCAGGCATACAGATGTGCACCGGTCACTCAATAACAGCAGTAGATAATGTGAAAAATATGAACAATTATATAAAAAATGTGGGAAAGTAACAACAGACTAATGAGGCACATATATAAAATATAGTCACAGATTTAGATCAGGTTAATGTCTTTGTTCATGATAAAGTACTTCTTGGAATCAGCATTCTTTGATCACTGTACCCCCAAAAATTACACATTTGAGGGAGAAAATCTACAGTATTTACACAACATGAATAAGTAGGCGTATCAATAAAAGTAATTATTTATGAAGGCAAACAAACACAAATATTAGAGAGTTAATGGGGGAGGGGGGCAAACAGTTAATAAGTAAACACCAAAAAACACAAACATAAGTTTTTTATACATGTACATATTTCACATGATGCGTAAGTTTCACAAAAGTGCAGTGACAATTGCTTATTCTCCAACTGATGCAGTTATCTGTCATCAAGTTACCTTATTCACAAGAAGGCTAAATGCAAATCGATCTTTGCCATTGGTAGATTATTTTACAAACTAAAGTAACTAAAGATGAGTCAGATAAAGATGATGCACGGTTACCATGGTAATACCTCTGGCAACAAGCACCGTAAGGACTATTTTTCAGAGCCACTGCTCCATGATAGCTGCCCTACAAAAAACCCCACGAAATGCTTTCTGCCATCAATTAAAAAAGGTGGCCATTGAGAGTGTCCAGTGAAACATCAATAGAATAACCTCACTGTATTCCAAGGAATAATTCTTATTACTGTCACATCTCACTTTTTGGCCCACACAGAGAACATTTTTACAACTGGGAACACTACAATCTTCACAAAAGTCACCAGTTCAAGCATGAGTGCCCAATAAGCACTATGGACTCACAGAGCATCATCTAAATGACAACCTTGCAAAGGAAGTTCAATTATTGATTCATAGTTAAAAGAGAGAATATTTCTGGGGTCCTTGTTGTGGTATCTAGCATTAAATCTCGTGCTGTATTAATGTCTAGGTTGATTAAGTCCATATTCTTCATTTTAGTATATTTCCTCCACTGATAGCATTTCTCCAAAAGAGCAGCATGTCAGATGAAATTCTCTTTCCATCAAGATGTCAACCTAAATGCCACTAGAAATAAGCCATTCTCAATATTTAGGTAAACTGCTGGTGAAGAGTACCTTTCATCTCAAACACAGTGCAAGTAGTCAATTTTAGATTCTGTGTTAAAGAAAAGCATTCAATATGCTAAAGATAAAAAAGAACCGATTCAAGAGAAGAATTTTGAATCAGTGAAATGCAAAGCAGGAATGTACCCTTACGTTGGTGTTGTACTTTTTGTTTCAGTTTTGTTTTGGTTATGCATGTATTCAGTTGCTGTTACATTGTGACTGAACACTGTGCAGCAGAATAGTGAACCATAGCACTATGCTTACCAGAGAATTGTTCAATGTACTCTACAGGGTATCCCAGAAAAAACAAACCCTGAGGAAAAGGGTTAAAACGCCCAAACCATGAGATATATGATTAAAATATAAGGATGTCTGTAAAGTAGAAGCAGTGTGATTTCTAATGGTACCTTGATGACATCCCTCCTCTCATGCATCACTGAGCACCACTGTCTTCAAAATGGGGCACCAAAACTCAAGCTGTAACATTTTGGTTAATCAGTGCATGAGGTCCTGAATATTTAGTCACTGTCAGGCAGCTGTTGGAATGCACTAAGCACTGTGCACGTGCATACGTTCAGCAATGCACAGCTATTATCAGTCATCGTGTTGTTTCACACTCTGTACATGAATACATACACTTGAATAGTTATCCAGAAATATCATTATGGTATTAGTGTAATCCAAATAGCTGCCTCTTTGAGAAACACAAATGACACATACATGTTCAGAGGGTTTCGTTTTCCAATCCAGACGTACACAATCCAACACAGTAATCCAAACAGTCCTTAATCTTCCAGTTTCAGTATTATTTTTCACTGTCCCCCCCCCAATTTGGGTACAACTGCATTATACTGACATACGGAGAGAAATGTATCTGGCTGAAGTACAAGTTAATAAGCAGATATGAAACATTACAAAGCTGGACAGACTGATGACCTGTCCTGTTTGCCTGCATATAAAAACTTCTCTAATGGTTCAAAGGATGCCTTTAACGCCTAGCTAGGTCAATTCCAGTTGTTATGTTGGCATACAGCTGCTGTTGTGTTCATTCATACTCAGCTGTTGTTCAGGCTTTAAGAGAGAAGACAAGGTGGAGGAACTGCTCATAGCTGATCTCAATCCATCCATTGCGGTTTGTGTCATAGGCTTTGAAGGCGTTTGTCAAGGTCTGCAAGTGGTAAGGAAAAAAAAAAACAAACGAAGTGAAACATCAACGGAATGAATGGCATCAAAACAAGACTTCTTCCAAGGCAACAATTAATCACAAAAAACCCACTCTGTTCCTTTTGAGAGAATTACAAAGGAAGATAAATATGGATCTTACATTTTGAACAAAATGACCAAACTATCAACAAACTTGTATATGATGTCACAAAGAATACACATAAAAAGACTCCTAAGAACAAACATTTGCACAAGTTTCTGGAGTCAACCAACTATTAGACTTTGCTAGTCCTTGTTTTAAGTGCCACCTTAATTTTTTATTGGATTCTGTCTAAAATGGCTAGGTACAATTTCTAGTTCACGAAAGACTGATAATTATTGTAATGTGTGCCTGAATTATTTTGAATAATCTTTTCAGTTCAGAGCTTTGTTGCAGTCCTACACAAGGTAAAAGTATATTTCCAAAAAATAAGATTTTAAATGTAATGACAGATCTGCATTGAATGTCTCTTTAGGGTAGGAATAGAATAAGAACATACACACATACGTCCAGTGATGGCACGGCAAACATGATACTGGCACCTCAAATTTCAAACCATTGCATTTGAGTTTGTTTCCCTTTAAACAGGTGAATCTTACCTGCAGAGTGATACAACATTGGATGAAGTCATCAAAAGCAATGGTTCCCTTGCCTTGCCGATCAAACTTCCTGATGAGAATGGAGAAGAAGCGCTCTGAAAGCCGGTAACCTAAAGACAGGAGAGAATTAAAGCAGTCCTTCAAGCTACAAGGTGAAAGTTTAGTGACATACTTGTATACAGAGTGTGCACATACCGGCAACTACAGTGGACATGGACAAAATCTCATTCTGTAACCACATGTAAGGAAGTGCCTACAGACACATATCCAGTTTCATATTTCACCGTTTCTTGCTGCTATGCACATAAATGTACCATTTATAGAACACCTGAATAAATCCATAGCATCTGATTGGTAAATTGTAGATCATGTGACCAAGCATGGCATATGCATCTTGGTCGAATGAATAATACACACTAATACCACATAACAAATGCAAAGTACTGGTCATTCTTTCAACCGATGAAAAAACTGCTAAACTTGTAAGTGATACAGCTTCCAAGTAACATAAAAAACTAATTCAATGTGTTGTCAAATGACTTGGAATGTGACACTTTCCTGTTGCGATTTCATGCTGGCCTGATAAAGAAAGACAGCTTGTGCACAAACAGGATCGATATACAGCATCACACAAAACAGTTAATGAATGTGTCACATCTGTGCAATGGAAGGAATAATTTCATTTGGTGAAGGATTGTATTTTTCACTTGGTGAGAGATAGAATGTTCCATTCCACTGTGTTTTGCCTCAGGGTTAAGACCATTTGACATTATTACACACAAACCATTGTACTCATTCATTAGATTTTTAATCCTAATCCCCTCAGCATGTTTTCTAGAAGGCTGACCCACCCCGTCAAATTCCAACACCCTTTTGCTGCTGGGTGGGGTGTATGTATTCAACCTGCTGGATTCCAACAGTCCATTTGCTGTATCACTACTCAGTTCAATGAACTCCAAAAGGCAGTAAACTGTTGGGTTTTGGCCGAGTGGGGATTCTTGGTCATATACTATGGATAAGGAACTGGAACACAGTGTACTCATCCCTTCAAGATCCAACAACTGCAGGGCTATACACAATTGACTCAGATTTCTTTGTTTTATTTTTAACTATTCTTAAAAAGCAAGGTCATCAAACACTCTAGAGTAAGTTATTCTACTCCTTAAGTACAGGTACATGACCAAACGACCCCTACTGTTTACAGGCACACACATACCAGCAGCATTATTTATCAAACACCCAGCAGCAGGTGCTGAGCAGCACTGACCATACTCTGTCAAAAGCCGATACTGTTACTCTGTACAGTACTCATTCCCTGATAACCCAACACTTTAGGCCTTTTCACACTGCAGAGCCAATCCCCGGGATCCCTGGGAAAATCCTAGGGATTTTTTACCCCACCAAAACCCCAGCAACCGTTCACACTAGACCCATTTACTCCTGGGACACTATATCCCGAGAATATGCACAGTAGTTTCACACTGGCAATCAAACCCCGGGAAAAGTGTAAACGGAGGGGTGCCCATCCAGAAGTTCCCAAATGAATTTTGGGTGGAAGTCCAATCCAACAATGCCACACGTGCATGAGCAGCTGTTGTTTACACCGCGCAATGCCAATTTGAAGTTATGACTAAGAGACTGGCTGCCCATCTGACCAGTACTTGCATCCTGTTGTTATACTGTTATATCTTTTGGAACTTTACAAAGCTAAGTTACCACGTGAATTATTTGGCATGTTATTTGTGACCCTGTGATCTTTCGAGATTACGGCTTGTCACACCAGCTGTGGACACAAAAAGGTGGGGTAAGCACAACCCAACTGACGTTTACACTAGTGGCTTTTCCCTAGGAAAAACGCCAAACCCTGGGATTTTCTCCTTTAACCCCACTCCCGAGCGGAGGTAAAAATTACCCGGGAAAAAGCTTTTCTCCAGGAATTTCTTTGGTAGTGTGAACAAACCAACCAAAATTTCCTGGCGATTTCCCAGGGAATTCGTCTAGTGTAAAATCCTCTTAAATGTAGTAAGTTTCATATGTACACAGAACTCAACCCATCAAATTTCCACAAATACTGGTGTGTAAATTGATGGGATGGGGAGCATTAAGGATAATATCCCACACAGAAGTCAAACGCTACACAGACATGTAGGCCTACGTATGCAATGAATTCATACATACATGTATGTTACCTACTCTGCAAAAAAATGAGTCACATGCCACCTGAGCCACTTTTGAGTTAAAGGCCTTTGAAAGAATCTTACCAAGTGTTTTAAGCAAGAGGGAATCCTCAACATTTTAACATCTACACAATGTCCATTTCATCATACCAAACTGAGTGATGCATAAAAACAAAGGGCTCAAATTCCTCAATCTAATAATACAAAGTAAACTCTAAAGTGGCTCTGGTGACTTGGGACTCATTTTGGCAGACTGGGTCACATACTGACTTTCACAATTACAGTCTCATTCCATTCAAAATCCCCAACCTGGTCCTTGTTTGATAACACATAGAGAGCTCAGCATGTTAAACAGAGTTCGATGTCCTGTTTTATACTGTAGAACTACATGTATATATTTGTCTTTCAGGAAATCTGGAACAGCTGGTAGTTAAAAAATAATGCACCTACAGGTTTAATGTCAAAAACGCACACAAGTAGTGTCTTTCTGTATGAACACACAGAAAAATGACCAGTGCAAATTTGTAAGTGAATCTGTGTTGAATGACATGTATTGCTATCTCATGGCATTCCCAACAGTGTGAATATACAGCTGCTCACTGTGACATGTACTACAACCTTATATTCTGGCTTGCCATACCAAAGCTTGTGATAGCAGTTTGTAGTTCTCTTTGATCAATGGATCCTGAGTTGTCACGGTCGTAGCTTCGGAAGGTGTTCTGCCAGTCTGTGATATACTTCCACAGTGCACCAAACTCTTGAAAGTTGATATTGCCACTCTGGTCCCTGTCAAACATTCCAATCATGAGTCGAACTGTTTCTGGATTAAATGGTGTCCATGTCCCTGCACACCAAATAACAAGTCAAAAGCAGTCCGTCATCCTCTCCATTATCCAATAAAAATATATTTCTATGGTCATATCCTTCAAAGTTTACACTTCATTCAACCTTGGACTGAAACCAAGTAAGTTGGACAGTACCTGCCTTATTTGATTAAAGGTTTTACTGACAATATTAAGAGGAGTGCTGGATTGAGAATTTAACACTACATTAAAAACGCAAGCTGAGAAGATCCAAAATGGATTTGCTTTGTTTTACCATTTGACAGTGCTTGTTGCAGTTCATCTGCTGATATGGCTCCACTTCTATCCTTGTCAACCCTGCAAATGTTGAGGTTAAAATGAAAGAGAAAAGGATGACCAGCGACTTCCTTAAGATTTGCATGACTGATACAAGTGTGTGTATTTCTTCTTCTCATAGAGCCAAAATGGTTAGTAATGTTCATAAAATACAACCAAAATTTAATGCAACAGTGAAAAAGGCAGACAAAAATGCAGTTTCAAATCCAAATGAGATTGCACACACTAAAATGACAAATTATATTATTCAATTATTTTGGGCCTCAGTTTCTCATAATCTATCTGCAGCGTAATGTTACATTTTACAACTGGTGGGTTAAGGAGGCTTTCACGTATTTACGAGGTGCATGTATTTTCCTCTCCAATTTATTCATGTTTCTCACATTTTAGGTCCATATTTGTAAACATGTTGTTTCTCTGTGATATTTCTCCCACAGTTTACATGTATGTACCTCCATACCAAGATACATGTATGGATATCTTTCACATGCAGTTTAGCTACATGTATCGTGAATGCATGCGTTTACATGTATTTAACTTCAGGACACCATGTAATTTACTTTGTTTCTTGTCTCTTTATATTTCAAACACACTCCGTGTTCAGTAACAACATGTGATAAACCAGAGCTTAAGAAGCTAATCCCTGACTCTTGTGTTCACTGAATTGGAGTTTGGCTGGCTGTCCAATAGCGGCTTGCCTAATTTAAAAACTGCAAGGAGGATAGCACACTACATGTACATACTTGTCCACAGAGCACCAGTGTGCACCATAACAAGTGCCAAAGTCAGTTCATTTACCGTATATCACCAACTAGTGTTGGCAGAAACAAGTTTCTATGTCATGCACTCATTCACACTCACAAACATACATGTAGCCCGGATGAAATGCCAGGTTGGCATATTTTGGGTGAATTACATGTATGTCAGGTGCGACCTGCATAAAATTGGAAAAGGTTGAAAAATGTCTTATAAAAATTCGCCAATGATAGTTCGGCGAGCTTAACTTTAGCAATTATTATAGTTGGGACTGTAACAACCACATGTGGTCTTGAAGTTTAAGCTGTGTTCAAAACAGGCCTCCAGACCTACGGCTCGGTCTACTGTCTGTGCATCTCTGTGTATTACCTAGATCTACACTTACATGTATGTAGCTCTGAACAGATTTGGATGCATGTAATTTGGATTCCGACAGACGCTATAGCTTCAACTTGTCTTGGTTGAAATTGTTGGCATGGTTTGGGCTAGCCCAAGACTAAGGCCAGGCTACTGGCTATCTCTGTATCCTTGGTCCTGTGACAGAGGCAGCCCAGTAGACTGGCTCTAGTCTTGGGTTGGGTTACTCTATTATTGCGGTAGTTACCATATTTCCCAATTAACATAAGATTGCTCGTTCACCTTCCTGAATTATCCTGTCCCTGCTGAACATTGACTATAACTTTTTACCTTGATTTCGAAGATTTGTTTGCGACTCAATTCTTTTCCCTCTACGATGGCCCTGAAAATGTTTGCGCACTGTATGTACATATGTAAGCAGGAGTGGAGTCTGTATTATTGCGGATTATTGAGACAAAGCGGATTATTGAAACAAAGTACTTTGTTTCAAAGGCATTGCCTTACACTTACAGTATTATTTTGCCTAGGAATAACTTTAAGAATTTTTTACCCAAATGCAGCAACAACTTTGACATTTATCTTATTACTAAAATCGGTGTTTGCAGAAGGACTAACAAACATGTGGGTATCGCAAATTTCATTCTCTTGGTGGACCCATTCTTTTATCAATGTCTAAAGTAGTCCTTTAAATGTCTGCTCTCTGAGCTCTAATTTCCCAAGAGTTATGACCATCTCATATAGTCATAAGGCCTGAACTATTTTTTATTCATATTTAATGTTAGAAATTCTAAATATCCCTAAAAATCTGTTCAAGTTGTATTACATGTAGAAATGCAACAAATCTGAGACAATAATACTAAAACAGGGCACTTTCGCAGTTAAAATGTGTCCTTGAACACCAAGCTTTAGCCAAATGTTACAGTAGTAACATCCTTGTAATATGAACCCAGCAATGAATATCCATGGGTAAAGGAGCGTTAGTATTTATAACTGTTAAAAAGACAGGTAGGTAATGACTGACATGGTGGAGGAAAATTTACAAAACAAAGAAAAAATGCATCTTTTATTACAATGTTTTGATCAAAACATATAAGTATAAAATATACTAATAACATATATTAAGTATAAAATGTCCGTGAACATCAAAATAAGTGGATATAATGGTGTAGGCATTGTTTGAGTTAGGGAAGTATTTTTGTACATGTATAAAAGCCTTTTAACCCGTGACGTACGTAGCACTGATCTGGTCCGCACGCGACACGACCAGCGCTCACCATTTGTGCACGTGTATTTCGTTTGTACGTGGTCATGCAGCATCAGGGACATTTCCTGTGAGCGGTTGCTGGTGCGTTGCTGGTTTGCAGCTCTCATCTGTTCTGATGTTCCTCGTGAAAATTTGTTTTTCTGTTTCATATACCCACAAAAAGACAATTTGCAAACTGAAGGTAACAATTTCGTTTGATAAAAAGGTAGGAGAGATTAACCCCAATGTTTAGAACAATGTGCTGCTTGCTTCCTATGTACAGAAAACAGCTGTGTTTCAGGCACATGGTCCACAGGAGTCGCGCACAATGCGATTTGTTATTAAGTGATCTCTTTTCCGGGTATCCGTGTACCCGATGTTCACAAAATACGGGTACCCAGTCCCACAAATACCCGGAAATGCACACCCCTAGAAAGCTGCAACATTTTTCATTCCGTCTTTTTTTAAAAACTAATCTTAAGGCCCTAAGTTATTGATTACCTGGTTAAAAAGTGCCAATTGTGAGCTTATTGGCATTTGATACAAAATTTCTAATTCTGCGATAATACTTACAAATGTACATGTGTTACTGCAAACCGCGATATTATTATAGGCCTACCGGTAGGAACCGAGTACAGGCCTACACATACATGTATGTACATGTAACATGTATGTAATGTTACGTCTTTCTTTGATAGGCTACTCATGAAAACTGACTAGTCAATGTGGGATGAATGAGCTTCAAGCTGTAATTTTGACTAGACAATAGGCCTACTACGGCATTAATATTCACGATCTTTATCAAGCTGGTTAGTCCACGACAATAACTGGTGTTGTAAGAGGGCATTCTCCAACCTTTACTTTTCTGCCAAGGTTTAGGCCTAAACTTCAAGTTTGTGAATATCTTCATCCCAAATCAATAATGCAAGCTGCAACACTGTCAGAAGGGGATAGCTTGACTTGAAATATGAAATAAAAAGGAAACAGATTAACATTTTGCAGGTGACGGTACACTTCTTCCATACGAATGTGCATAAAAGGCATTGCATGTTTGTCATCCAAACCCATAATGCATTGCGGTTTACTATCTGTCAGAATGGTTATAACATGGAGTAGGACTATAGTACTAGGTAGGAAAAGACGTTTGCAAATAAAATTGGACCTAGGCTTTGCGGCGACTGTTTATAAAAATGTAACGATTGTTATATATGTCTGCTGTTAAACAACTCACTTGCTGAAGACATTCCACAAAAACTGCTGATCTTGGACTGCCATTTTCTACTTATCGTTATGTAATTGTGTAGCCTACCAGTAGGCTGTATCGATACTGTACGGGTGTCGGCCACTTCGCCCATTTACCACTTTGCCCACAACCACTTTACCCATTTGTCACTTTGCCCATGCGCTACTTCGCCCATTTGCCACTTCACCCACTTCGCTCACGCGTCCACGCGAGGGGCCGTCCATAAAGTACGTACGTACGAAACATAGGGGTGCAGACTACTAATTCAAGTGAGAATTTTTGGCCAGCTCATTAGCATTAAAAGTGCCCCCACCCGCAGTATCTTTTGAAAAAGGAGATTCTTTGGCCCCAAAATGGTGAGATTGTGTAAATCGTTGCCAGGATCAACTCCCTGGGTCTTTGAGCTTTCATATGAGGGCAGAAGGGCTAAAAACTACGGTTGCAAAATGGTCCTAAGTGCCCGAGAAAGTTGAGGGTTGCCACGTGAAAAATGGCTGCAATGAGACTTCGGAAAAATCACTTTTGGGGGGGTGATTTTGTTTTGTGGGAATAATTAAAAATGNGAACGGTGCTGATTTTACTCTGTTTTCAATGGGGCTTAAATCAGTGGACTGGACCCATAGACTTTTCAGATCTCCTCTCCTGTACATGGATTACGCAGTGGCTCCATCCCCTCCCGTTCCCCTGTACGCATACCCCTTCCACAATTCCGGAAGACGCTGCCGGTCTTTGTGTCATGAGTAATGTTGCAGTTCACTAATAATGGGCGTTGGCACGGGAGGGCAAATTGTGGGGTGAAGTGAGGAGGATGTTGTGTTTGAATTTCGATGCACGAAGCTGATTCTGGTAATTATTTGTATGAGAAAGAGTATTGATGTGATGAAGATTCATTTCGGGCAAATTTTCGGTTTGCGTACTCTTCCCCTCTGTATACATGGTGTACGTGTGGCAGAGCTAGACATTTGTTGTACTTTTTGTAAGCGTCTTTTCATAGGAGTAGTTCCTCCTCTAAAAATACAGTTATTATTTAGAGTTCCCCTGTATTTTCTGTTAGTGTATCCTTTGTTTATTTACTTTGGCCCTTGCTTCTACCCATATTATAACTTGACCCCCATGCTCTGACCACTTAGTTTGATGAGCAGACCAGCAGAAAGACTATCACTGTTCATTAATTTTGTTCCTCCTCACTGGAGTGTGTGATTTTACTTGAGCCAGGTTTCTGTCTGCTTCTATGAGTCAGTGATCGACAGTGTTGTAACCAAGTCATTTTTTTCCAAGTCACGTCTCGAGTCAATTTTTCTAAATAATGTACATCAAAACTAAAAGTGATACCCGTTTATAATTTCTTCGTTTTGTTCAGTACGTTATTGGTGGTATCTTTCACTCTTCAAACTGACTGCCCTTAAATGATAATGACATGGCTTGCCTGTCTTAGTGTTGGCTTGTTGGTTGAACATGCACAATATTCACAATTTTTGAACCCCAAAGTCACCACTTTCGGAGTAGACATGGTGCTCAGTCGCCATGTGTTGGGCAAGGAACAAAATTGGATCCTCGTGCTGTCATCGTATCTACGTGCGTGCGGGAACCAGTTATAGTAATAATGTTTGGTGCGCGTGCGCATGATCACAGTGCGAGAAGAGAAATCATACTACTAGCATCTAACCAGTGATTTTTTTTTTTCAAAAAGTAATTTCCCCCCCAAAAAAACACTTAAGGCTTCTCTTTTGAAATACATTGTTGTACATGTAATAGAATCTGACATAAGAGATTGTGAATTCACCGTTCCAGGTTGGCTCCTGGATTGGTGATGGTACACGTACACGTTGTTGTTTTGCAGTCTTCGCGTGCCTAATGGTAAATCACTTAACAGTTTAGAGTTACGTGGCTCTATAGAAAGACCGGTCTTAATTAACAGATGTAATCAGACGACGCATAGGCCTATGCCCCGGGCCCACGCAAACTTCATACAGTGCGCACGCGTCATGCATTATGTATGCATGATGTGCCGTGGTGCCAGTGCACGGTCTGAGGAACGCAACGCGACGCCACGCATGATTCTTTTGTTAGTTTGTATTTTTATTTACTTTAAGAAAAGATTTAATTTCAACAAGCAATTTTTTTTTCAAGTCGAGTCAAGTCTCAAGTCATTTTTCGTCAAGTCAAGTCTCGAGTCTAAAAAATAGCGACTCGAGTCCAACTCGGGTCCGAGTCAGCGACTCGAGTCAACAACACTGGTGATCGAAAGCCTAACTCGCCTCATTAGGTCCATTTTACACACTGTGTTGATTTTGGTTTTAGTCCTTTCAAAGTTCTTTGAGTCCTTAAGTCCTTTGGGGGGTTTTGCGGGTTTTTTTGTACTTTTTCATAAAATAAATTCTTTTGTGTCCTTTTGGTAGAAGTCAAATATTGGTTTGTGAGTCCTTATTAATTCAGTTTCCCTCAATTTTCCTTGGTTTTGTTAGGGTTTCTGTTGTTTTGCGAGTTCCCCATAGCGTGCCATTTTCCCTGTTACAAATTCAACGGCACCAACCCCCCTTCCCCTTCGCGCCTACGTACTTTATGGACGGCTCCAACCTGTTTCACTTCGGGCCTGTGTTTCACACGGGTCTGGATCTCGACCAATGAGCCAAAAAGCTGGTTTGCTCTATCGATTACGCGGGTTCTGATGAAGTAAACCAAGGCTGGACCACTGATCGAATCGATATCCTGGTATTCCTGTTTTATCCTTTACCTTTATCTGACATTCAGAGTACCGGGATTCTGGAGGGACTTGGTAGCTGGTTTCCTTTTTTTACTCTCTTGTTCATTTTGACAAAATTCGTTGGCTTGTGGCCCAAGTAGCGTGTGGGCGAATTGGCTCGTGGGCGAAGTGGCAAACGGGCGAAGTGGTAGATGGGTGAAGTGGCAAATGGGTAAAGTGGTAAATGGGCGAATTAGCAAATGGGCAAAGTGTTGTGGGCGAAGTGGAAATTCGAAAAAGGGCGAGGTGAATGCGAAAATGCAGTGGTAGCGCGCGTATGCGTATGTACGCTACAGGTAAAATAGTCTTCATCAGCCGCCAGAATAAACTGGCTACGACCGACAGTACCACACATGTCCACACAAAGACCTAGCTGTTGCCAGTAACCATAAAACACAAAACCGGGAACTCCTAGTCGGGTACCCAATTACAAGTATCAAATAGCTGGCGTTTGACTCAGTGCCATCTGGGCATCCGACAAGCAAGCGGTACGAAAGTTGGCAGGTTTGTCAACTTCGATAATAAAAATCATTTGTTAAAAAATTGTAAACTCCTGCACGCACTTTCTTGGATGTGTTATAGTGCCACATTGATCTACAGTCTTCTTTTTCCCACCATGCCCGACATAAAATGGGTGAATTATCATCACGCATAACAAAGTTCATAACCGTTCGTGAGGTGTCGCTCTTGGTATTGTGTTGTGTGGCCACCTACTTGTTCCGTATTAGACGGAGTTTCGGCCTTTCTGCAGCATGGCGCATCGAAGCAAACCAGTCACGCTACGAGAATGGGCAATATGCCCAGATATGGGAAATTCTGTAAGTAGGCCTACACTTTCGGTGGAAAAAATTTCGTGGGTTGGAAAGATTTCCATGTACATGTACGGACACCTCTTGACACCTAGCCCCACTAGTGTGGCACGGACTCTCACTCCCGATCCATAGGGAGTGATCCGTGCCACACTACTAGTACTAGTGGGGCTACTTGACACCCTGTCAGCCTGTGCACAAACATGGCAAACACACTGTGCTGGTCTAACTTTTCCTACCTCCCTGCTTAACCCCTTGACCACGGGAATTTCTTCCCGAAAGCTAACTCCAAGAATTCCAGCCTCGCTTGGCCATGAAGGCCACCTGTCAAACCGCAGATTCTCGGTTTGTGGCCCTGCGTGCTCTGCACGCTTTGAATTACACGGTGAAAAGGCTGATTGTTCGGTGGCATACGGCTCTACCCAAGCTTCCACATTCCCGTTGCCTCTTTTCAAGCTGGTGAAGCTGGTGATTATGATGCAAATGATGATGATGCAAATTCGGTCTTTTCATTTCTTGGCTACGCACAAAGACCAATTTCCATATATACAAGAACCAGGGTCTGCCTTCTTTCACCATGTTTGCTCGAACGTGGGCCGAGGATAATAGCTGAAAAGGGGGCTGAGGATCTCAATTTTTAAGGCAACTCTATCCACGTCCCGGCGTGAAGGGGTTAAAGCACTGTAAAATGTTCAGTATTTTCACTTCTGAATTTGAGTGACTTAAGAATATGTACAGGTAGGCCCTGGTATTGAGTCAGTGCATGGAAACGGAAATAGCGCCCTTACATGGAATTCTTTCCCATGGGTTTTACCCAGAAAAATCCTGTGTGTTTTTTCCCACCTCTACACGGCCCGCCGTGTGCCATAGTACATGTACAAACTCAACTCCAATAAAAATCAACAGAGGGTGCCCTGTGAAAAGAGATTTTGCTCCCGCGTGCTGTAATTGAAAAATTTGCATTGTGAAATTTATGAATGAATGTCTCTGCCCATCAACTGCCTAACTTCCTGAAAATTTGTGTGGTGCTTATGTATGAAAATGTTTTCATGTTGTCAAAAATGAGCAAAATTGGCTTCTTAATAAAAAAAATTGCTTAATTGAATTTCAGTTTCAAAAGTGAAATCAGAAAAATGCAAAATTTTCACTTTTTTTCCCAAACTCCAAAAATAGGCAGATACTCAATTTTCCTGCGCCTTGAGGTAACCTTTCAACCCCCATTTACCGGCCCATACCAAGAAAAAAACGTGGCAGGGGTGGCCACTGTGACCAAAAAAAATGTCAAACAAGATGCCTCTGCTGACGTCATAGATATTCATGCTTCTTTCAGATCTTCTGATTTCGACCAAATAAACGAATTTTGGCAGAAAATTTTACGTTTTGTTTGAGGGTGGTAGTCTTGCCAATAACCCCAAAGTCATTTGGTCTGATCAAAGTTTGTCCCGTCATAAGATATACTACTACCTGAAGGCCATCTCATGTATCTCGGAATCTGTAATTTTGCTGTGTTGGCCATTGGCTACAGCTGGACAAACTTAATCAGTTTAGCCAAATTGTTTGGATACTCACTCCATTGAACTTGTCAGGTATTTTTGAACATGTAAGCTCTCTACTGGTACTAAAATGAAGATTATTGAGAACTGGCCAATGCTTTTAAACATTTTTTTCAGTGTTAAAATGGGTGAAAGCTAACTTTTGTTAAACTTCTCGAAACCTACATTATAGGTTACATCTAATCTACAGAGAGTTCCACATATGAAGTGCACTAATTTTCCATTTAAATGTCTTAATAGCAATTAGAAAGTTATAAAATGTCCCAAAAAGTGAAAGGTTTGTGCACAGGGCATCAAGTGCACTTCGTGTATATGGAATTCTTTCAAATACTTGCAAAAAACACTTGGTAAATATTTTTGATTGGTAAGCAGCCAGCACAGATCACTTCCTTGGGTGTACATTGACAACTGGATATCCCAAGACTTGTCACAACCCCAGAGGTCTGATTAACTGAATGCATGTGACCTACTGTAATCCTGGTATACTCTGTCATATATGGTTAAAGTTGACGTGATACTTATACTGGTAATTAAAACTCTCCCGAGCCTCCAAAACCTAAATCTTCAACTCCTGCTGTACGATCACATTTTGTAATCTGTTAACTGAGGTGAGCAGTACATGTACATGGCATGTTGTCTGAGCACAATTTTTGTCGCTTTTCAGGTTCATGCACACTCACAAACAAGCGTTCCAATTTATTTGCATATGCATAAATGAATGCTTTCAGTTGCCTGCTCTGACATGAGGCCAACTGTTCCTAGAATTCTAGCCTGCCATGGTACTTCAGCTGTAAGGAGATAGAATTTTCGTTTGAGGTTTTCATTTGGAAAGTTTATCGGAAACCAATTTTCTCAATTTTTTTAATCAAATGATTCCTTTTATGGAGACTCTCTTTTGTACAAGTAGAACTTCCCACCTGAGCAAGAGGAACTCTTGATAAAAACCTTTGGATGTCTATGTTTGCCTTGAACCTTTATGATATCTTTATCTCCTGTCCCTGAACTAGTTACAATATGCCAAAGTCAACAGCCTGTGGTGCAGTTGCCTCACAAGTTCTTTCAATTCCTAGATGCTTTTTAAAATTTTTCTCAAATTCCCTTAGTACTTTCTGCTTCAAGCATCTCTGTTTTGCTTTTCAATTCTTCCAACTCCCAGACGATTCTTTCGCATGCGCTTCGTTTGTGCTTTTTTCCCCTGGTGCATTTGATTCTCTGTCGGGATGTTCCTTTGGCACTTTACAACTGTACCCAAATGATGTTTGCAGTCTGCACAATGTGCAAAAGTGTGTGATTGGTCACCCTAAATTTGCTGATACAAGTTTTGCTTGATGGACACACAAACCTTTCGTGCTCGCCTTGCAGCAGAAAACAAGATCTGATACATGATATATTCCTTGAAAGTACCTGATGAAGGAAACCTGCAACGAACTCCTGATCTGTAGATTATGGCAGCGATTTCTAGGCATACAAGGCATTCTGAATTCTTAATATACCAGTAAAAACTGAATCAAAAGTCAGATGAGGGAGAGCTTCGATAGTCTATATAGAAACACTTCGATCACGAATGAGACAGGTCCCCTGAATCTAATGAACTTTAATCAATCTGTTTATTTGACAACAAAGCACCAGGGGTGTTAACTGTTCTTATGAGTCTGGTAGAGGGCGCTACTTAAGATTGGATCACGGCGGGCCATGTCTAAAGCTGTAGGCCTAACCATGCTAACTGCTCATCATTGTCTCCTTTCATGCACAGGTTTCTTCAGCCTTGTGAGTTTCAGTGCTTAGGGTACTTTTGAATTGGAGGAATCCAAGCTTGGTGTCATTACCAGAAATATTTAATACATATATTAAAAAAATAATCTTCATCCTTGCTTCCAGGACGGACTGACATAACCTTGTAAAATGCTTGTGATGTATGTGAAGTACTTACTTTTGGTGTCATGCTGAAAACTGTCTGGTGGCAAATAGTGTCTACTCATTTGCATACTGCCATCTGATTGGTCCTGGGTGTGTGATGTCACATTTTTGATGGAAGCTTGTAAAATGGTGTCTGCATTTAAGCATCTCACGTACTACACATTCATCGGGTTGATGGTCTGATTCGTGTATCTTGACTCCACCATATCCTGGAATTAGGGATGGAAGCTTGTTTTCATGGAGTTTCATTGCATCTGGTGATGGTATCACTGGAAGCACAGACACAAGGCACTAAATTGCAGAGAACCATGCAACTTTGTCAACCAGCAGGGCTCGAATGTGAGTCATCTCCAGGGAAACATCAAAGCCAGCAGACAGGCATTGGATACACCTTACACAGGCCTGTAATGGCTGTGGCACATGGTAGAGTAGACACCGTGAGCCTGGACAGGTTAAAGGTCATGCACAGATTCTGCCATACCCAAAGTTACATCAATCAAACAGTCTGCACACTGCCCAAAATCTCCACAGCTGGGAAACTTGGGGAAGATGTGAAATTGGAATTAAAGAAAGAAGTGAAAATGTGTCTATTTTACGCC